CAGCATTCTGCTGGCATAAGAAAAAAAGCAAGGGATCTTTGCTGGGATGTGTAGGCAGGTGTGTGATTTGTTAAAGCCAGTGCTGTTCAGACCTCAGCTGGAGCACTGTGCCCAGACTTGAGCACTGGTCTTCTACACAGGTGAGGACCCACAGGAAGAAGCCCAGAGGGAATAATAAAAACAACTGGAGGTCTAAAACCTTCACCTGTGAGGAAAGATTAAAATAACTGTGTTTATTCTTTGAGAAAATGGAGGGGATAGATGATGCTATCAAATACCCTGAAGACTGTTGCTTCCTGCATCCACTGAGATAAGCTCATTACCTCTTGTCCTACATTGCAGCAAAGGAGATTAGGTTAGACTTTGGAAAATTTTTCTAACTCCAAGGTTAGTTCGGCACTGGAATGGACTGCTTAGGGAGCCTGTGCTGTCTTCCACCACTGGAAGTTTTGAGAAAGAGCCTCAGGAGCAGTTAACATCAATCCTGCCTATTTGCTATTAATTTGGGGTTTTTATAGTGGGTAGACTTGAAGAAAAACACAGACCTCACTGGTTTTAATGTTATATCAGTTGAATCAGGGAAAGCAGCAAAAAGATAAGAGCTGTAGTTTTAGGACTCCCATAAGCTGGATGCTTATTTATGCCAATATACCAATTAGATTTGCCTTCCAAATGCTTAGCTAAACATTGAAGAAATATGCCTGACTGGGGAATTCTTGTCTATACCGTGGTTCCCAGAACTGCTAGCACTGGTTTAGCTGAGCTAGTAGAAGGAGGGAAAAAAAGAATCTCTGAAATAGATAAGATTTATAGTCTCTGTAAATTTTTTGTACATAGTAGACCATTCTTTGTTTCTTTTCACTGTGCTATGGGGTTGCAATGCATGTGTGACTTCTATTAATAGATTCATCCTTTGGTTTCCTTGACTTTATTGTTTTATAACATCGTCATTGAAAGGGAGGTAATAATTACAGTTTATTCAATATTAAAAAAAAAAACAATAAAAGAAACAAGTACCACAGGCAAGTAGAAAATAAGATTTCAAAGTTTATCTGCTTTATTTATCCGTGAAATTGTTGAGACATCCTCCCCCACCACACACTTGAACATCTTCTATAAAGAAAACAACCATCTCATTCTTTTATTCCTCTTAACCTGTAGGAGGAAAAATTTGATTAGCTGGCATTCATGTTTGTGCGTATAGATGAGAAACTTCAATTAATTCAGACCAAAGAAAAATGATGCACTTGGTTTCTTTAAAGTCCTGCAGCCATTCTTGCCTTCAACAGAGAAGCCTGCTGTGTGTCTGGGGCTACCTTCTGTGAAACACATTTGTCTCTTGTGCTTTTTCCTCCCTGAAACAGTCTTCTTAGGTCCAGTGGATTGTAACTATTGGTGAAGGAAACAGCCACATTTGAAGACACAGTCTCTCAGATGGATGGTTCAAATGCAACAGAAGACCTGGACAGAGAGAGATGCAGAGGGGGACTCTGTGCAGCGTGGGAACTGCTTTCAATGACGTTTACCACATTTTGCACCAGTATGAATGGAGAGAAGCTACACAAGTGAGACTATCAGTTGTTAGTACAGAGATTGCTGTGGCCAAGTCTGTGCCAAGATACCAATCCAGCCTTCTATCTAGCTGGAGAATGGGAATTTCTGATTTGGGGCATTTAACCACACTGAGGAGTTCAAAAGGAACAGAAGAACTGATATAACAAGCTGAGTAAATAGACTTGATGGGAGCAGCAAATACTAGTGTTCATTAGAAACAACGCAGTTTCAGCAAAGATTTTGTACATTGTGCAGTTTTGTTGAAAGGTCCTGTCAGATTACATCTATTTAAGCGGAGGTGGCAACCATGGCCTATGTTATTCCACCAAAGCTGCAAACTGTACCTCACTTTCCACTGGCAACAGTGGACTTTGCTCATTTAGAACAATAGCGATGCATGGTTTTGTTTCTAAAAGGATTTCCAGTTTTCCTGATTGCCAAGGACCCAAGGGCACTAAAAGTCCTTAATAGCCCTGATCAGCCTCATCTGGGGCCCCTGCTCAGCCACCTTCTTCCCATAGTGGGCAGGGACTCCAGGGTTTCATTTAAGCTCAGGCTCAGCCCACCAGGCTTTGTCTGTGCTTTGTCTTGGGTGAGCCTGTCTTGGTTGCTCCCTCCTTGGATGAGCCTCAGACCTACATTATGGGTGTAGGTCTACATATAGGTCTCTAGTTCTGTCTCTTGTTCTTCCTGATGAGACTTCCTGGATGGATCCTGGACTCGATTTGACATCTCACCTTGCGTGGTGGTCACTAGGTGTATGATGAAGCCTCTTGTCACCGTCGTAGCCCTGCTCTTGACTGCGCCCTCACTGGTGGGGTTACCCTTGGCTCCCAGCTCATGATGCCTTCAGGAATAGCCCTGCTCTGACACTGATGTGCAGCTCAGGAAAGAACCAAGGGCTGGATAAAAGTAATCTTTTGAAATAGATTATTTTTTTTTTTTAAAAAAGCTTCCTTCTCTTATTTATGTCTCTGGATTTAATCCAAATTGTTTCAACTTTTAGTTTTAACCATGTAAATTATATTTTCTGCAGTTTGTTGCTGCCTGACTTTTTAAAGTACTACATACAGCAAAATACAGGAGTACTTTGACAAAATAAATCTGTTGGTGACTAATTTTAGCACGCCTAAACGTCTTTGGGACTGTATTGCTTTTATTTCTTGAAATGCAAGATGTTTAATCTGGTTAAGATAGCAGATTGTCATGCCAAGTACAGTCGTTTTACAGGATTAAGAACTATAGGATTATAGATCCTAATTATAGACTCTTGTCAGTTTACTATGTCTTAATACATTGTTTTCAACTTCTGATTCCACTTGTCATGTCTCTTTTGCAATCATGTTTTTAATGAACTTTCTGATGCATTTTCTAATTTGGCAAACCTGTATTCTGATTGCACTGCCTGGGTTCTATTGCATGTCAATATTAGCAAATTAAATAATTTGAAAGGTCGGAGCTCTTCAAACCAAACATCTCTGCTTTATGAGGCTTTTCACAACAAACTTCAAATTATACTGCTATTTGAATATTCCACTTTTTGCACTGCTTTGTTTCTTGGCTTCCAGATTGCTTCCAGAAAAGCTATAGATGGTGATTTTCTGTAGCCATTTTTGCTGCCTGAGCCCCTTTGTAGTCAGTGTAAATTTACATACTGAAAAGAGATTTAGAAGATATTACTATTTATTGGTAATATATTTACTTTATGATGAATGGCATTGATACATCTGTCTTTTGACATCCTCTTTGTCATAGTATTTTGCCCTCAATGAACTTCTTGCTTCGTGGATGCTGCGGTGAATGTGCCACAGAGAACTTTATTTGTCTGTGGCTATGTCCTGCAGGACTGGCCAAACATGATTCTTTGACATTCAGTGGAAAGCTGTCAAGCTAATTAACGTTTCAATTATTGACTGGAATGTGGCCTAGATTCCTTAACTGATGAATGGGACAAGATCTTGTTTATTTTAGTTTTTTGCTGCACTTCCTCACCATTGCAGCACATGGTTCAATTCAGCCGCACTAACAACAAGGGAAGTACATCGTCCGGCCAATGCTGCTGTCGTTTGAAGCATATTTTTTGGCACTGTAATCGGACCAGTGGTAAAACGGAATCTTGTTTATAGCAGCTTTCCAACATTTTGCCTACTGCTTTTAAAGATATAGGAAACACAAAACAGTACAGAGCAGGACTTCAAAAGGAAAAAAGTGAAGGCTGCATGTTAACCTCTGAAAAGCTGGAAAATTGCCCTAACTACTGTGCTTGTTTCAGGGTGGCAGTAATGATGGCTTAAGGAGATAGGCAAGCCAAGATGAGAGGTAGTAGTAATATCTCTTTATCGGACAAACTAGTAGAGCTGGAAAAACACATCTTTTTAGCAGGCGAGCCCTATTTTCGCTCTGTATGTGGCCTTATTTCACAAGTCTCGTGCATATAAATTACAGTTCAGTCTTTAATTATTACATACATTAGGCAGGCTCAGAACCTGATTTGGAGCAGTGCATGCCCCGCGAATGAAAATCACCGGATAATGATCTGGCGTATGTATCATTTTCTCATTTTTAATTGTGTAATCCTATGCCATTGTTACTGCGCACCATTAAATACAGAATTATTAACTTCCTTGTGTTTTTCACGGTAACAAACCATTTGGACTTTAACAGCCCTGTCCTCGCCTGCCCTTGAACAGAACCAATATTTTAACCCTCTCTTCCAGGCGATGAGTGCAGAAACGTCGGCCGATCCCTCCTGAAGCGTTTGCAGCCTCCCTTCTCGTCAAACGTGGTGTCCGGACAACACTCGTGCCCAGCGCTGTGTCAGCCCCGAGTCCCTGGTCCCTTCCCAGCCAGGCCCTAAGGAAACGCTCTAACAGCATTCTGTGGTAAAAGCGTTCACCACGGGCCGCCCTGGCACCGCTCGTAGTGGAGGGACGGAGGCTGCTCCCGGCCGGCCGTGCCACTTGTCTTCTTTCCCTCAGCCTCAGGTCTCCTCTTGAAGGAACTTCTGGCCCCCGAAACCCCGACTGCCTGTTGACAGCATGGCGGTCGACGAGGATGAGCGTGAAGGAAAACCCGCCCTGAGCCCGTCCCTCAGAAGTCCTTTGGGTCACTGGCGGGTGAAGGGCAGACGGTGAGGCCCAGGCCCCACCATTGACAGAAAACCTCTCCGGCCACCCTTCCACCTCACCTCCTGGGGTGGCACCCTGCCTCCCGAGCCCCACAGCCCGCTCCCCAGCCCGGGGGGAACGACATCGCCCTCTCCCGCCTCCGCCCGCCTCCCCTCACGTCCCGCGGGGGCGGTTAC